GACTTTATGAAAATATAATTTAAGTTCTAAAAAGTGAAATTATTGAATGATATTCTCATTAAAATTACTAATTAGTAAATGAATCTTACATCATCTTGAAAATGATTTCACCTACATACCAATCATCACTATAAGAAGGGCCACGCTTCTTCTCTTCTTGAGCAAGAAGTTGTGACAATACAACTCTTACATAGTTTCAATAAAGAAAATCAGTGCATTCTAGCAACACTTCGATCATTTTATGTCTACTATATGCAACATAGTTGTCGGTGGTGCAATGGGAGACGCCGAGATGGCTATACTTTAAGAGCACGACTCGGCGTCGTCATTGCACCACTGATTGCCATATGTTGTTTCGTTGTCTTCTAGTGTTTATAAAATCGTGAGTTACAAAACAGGTTAATGCTTTCAGGAAGTATGATTTATTAAGTTTTTAATGCGATAAATTATTCTATCATAGTTAACTATATCATTTCATGTAGAGATGACAATCGATAAGGTACTTGCACGTTTAGTTATTCTTCAACGCAACGTATACATTTACATTTAAAACTACCAATTGCAAATCTAATTATCAACCATATGAATATGTTCCATTAGGGTTCAGAAAGATCGAGTATCCAAAAATACCCTGCACCACGGCGCACGTAGCACTGTGCGCTTCGCGCCTCCCAAAACGACGTCGTTTTGGTAAGTTATGTAGGGAGTTAACGCGATTATGTGTATTTGTTTATAAATTATGTGTATTTGTTTATACAATTATGTGTATTTGTTTATACAATTATGTACATTTTTTTATACAATCATGTACATCTTTTTTTATACAATTATGTACATCCGAAACAGAAAATTTATGTGTATTATGTTAAGAGTTGATGTTTATTATGTTAAAAATTTTTGTATATTATGTATTATGTTAGATTATATGTATTATCTTTAAAAAAAAGTATGTGTATTTTGTTATACAATTATATACATTCATGTATATCAAGTGGCTTGTAGTCCACTAGTATCCGATTGGTCTCTTATGTGGGATGTCTTAGGTTCAAACTTTGGTGAAAGCATAGATAGTACATGTGGGTGTCCCCCTTCCTTTGTAATAAAAAAAAATATACATTCATGTATACAATTATATGTATTCTAGTATAAAATTATGTACATTTTTGAACATAAATTTTTTTTTTTTACAGAAAATTAACCGCAAACACATGGTAGCAAAATTTCAAAAAAAAAAAAAAAATTAAAACGACGTTGTTTTGCATTAGGGCGCACAATGCAATGTGCACCCCGGTGCGGGATATAAATTGCCATAATCCATGTTGTGTTCTTGGGCCATGCTAGCAAAGTGCCTATTAAATATTATAAAGTGATTAATGGGCTTAGTGAATTGGATCATAGGCCGGCATATTACCCAACAACTCAAGAAGAGATACATGGACAAATTATATCATAAATCAGATTTTACTTTGCATTGACTAGATCATGGTCCAAAAATAATCTTCAGATTCTGTATTTGTAGTTGATAATTTTTATATATGTAATTATCATATTATGTGTCAATAGCTATCCAAAAATATCCTGCAGATTCTTTATCTACAGTTGCCATATTCTGTACATGCAGTTGATAATTTATGTATGGGTACCTATCATATCATGTGTCAACAATTATCAAGTTATTTGTTTACATGTACAGAAACGTGATAAATTATAGGTACAAAATGAGTATGTACATATAGCAATGTGAACCTTAGTCCATCGTATAACAATTGTAAATAACAAATTATTCCGTAAATCCGAATTTACTTTAGATCTAAAAATACACAACTTATATATTAAATGTTTATAATTTATTTTTTAAATATTTACAATTTGTTATGATCTTGTTTTATATTCATAAATTTCTAAAATTTAAAAATACAATTTATATTCTAAAAAGTTTACTATTTCAAATACTAAAAATATAAACAATTTAGGACACGATCCACCTTGTGAGGTGGATGATCCATGGTATAACTAACTGATCAAATATAGCAGGTCATTTCCAACAACTTGATCTTCCGAGGAAGACAGCTCTTCCAATGGCCGAATCTCAGCTCCCTCAAATAGCCATTCTTGGATCTGGAATCTTCGTCAAAACCCAGTACATCCCAAGATTAGCTGAAATTTCCCAGCTTTTCGTTCTCAAAGCTATTTGGAGCCGCAGTGAGGTAATACCTCCACACCCCCCCCCCCCCCCCCCCCCCCCGGGGAACACTCCCCAATCCATTATCGTCCCAGTGTTCCTTTGAATACTTAACTTCCGGGTTTGTCCGAGAATTAGAATTCCATCAATGGGTTTGCTTGTTTAGGAATCGGCTAGAAGCGCTGTTGAGTTAGCAAGAAATCATTTTCCAAATGTGGAATGCAAGTGGGGAGGTGCTGGTCTTGAGGAGATTATCAAGGATACTTCCATAATCGGAGTTGCTGTTGTTGTTGCCGGCCAAACTCAGGTTTCTCATTTCTTGATTTAGTTTCTTGTGTTTATTATTATTATTTTTAATACATTAAGGTTTAGTTTGGATTTAGTTGCCCAAGATGAGACCAAATTAACATATGCAAAGTTATCACATGTTTTATGACCTAAAATTTCTCCAAAATTGAATTTTTTTTTTCTTCTATAAAAGATGGTGTAATTCTAGACAAATTCTTTCAGGTGGAGATGTCCTTGAGGCTTCTCAAAGGAGGAAAGCATGTCCTACAAGGTATTGCATTGTTAACCTATGATAATTGTGTTTTCTTCTGCTATAAATTGTAATAACTTATCCAAGAAAATATCTTGAAGTTGATACAATGTACCTCTTTGCGAAAATCATGGTGTCTCTGTCTTTCGCATAATTTCGTTGCCATCTTTAAGAGTACACATTAACAAATGAATGTGTGGGTGTCCTCAAGATCCCATCTTTCCATCATTGTGAAGTACTTGAAATCTATATTGCAATAATTGATAATGTTGCTTGCCTATATGTAGTTCACTAATGGTTCATGTCTTTTCTTTTGCATGCTTTGTGTGTTACTTGGTGAAATTCTGATTCTGAAGAGAAGCCAGCTGCTGCCTGTAAGTAGATGCCTTTGTAATTGGTTGAAAATATGTACTCATAAAAAAGTTACTCCTTCTGTCCCATTTTATTAGTCCTACATAATTAGATAAACTGATTAGGTATTTCATATTTGGTCCATGTGTCTAATTTGCAGAACTTCATCTTGGACTAAACCATTCTAATCAGTTTATCTAATTATGAATGTTTGACTGTTTGAGGATTTCATCCATATGACCATATGTATGGCAATGTTGTATATATCAGGCATTGCGGAGGCAGAGAATGCATTAATGCATTATAATTCTCTTTCTACCAACATGACTCAAAAACCAATATGGGCAGTTGCAGAGAATTATCGTTTCGAACCTGCTTTCACAGAGGTAGCTGTTTTCCAAGCACCAATATGATTGGTTATTTTTTGTTCGCTTTCTGTGTAATGAATTATTGAATCGCAGTGCAAGAAAATGATTGCTGAAATAGGAGATATGATGAATGTCCAAGTTATTATTGAAGGGTCAATGAATAGCTCAAACCCTTATTTCTCAAGCTCTTGGAGGCGCAACTTCTTTGTGAGTGAGTCCCTTTATAGTATATTCTGGATTTTGTCTAGTTGCAATTATTCAGAATTGCCTACCAGCTTTTAAAAACAAAGAAAAGAAACATGATTTGCATTATTTTGCATTATCTCCTTTATCTGATAACTACTTTCTTTCAATGTCATGGTGGGAGCAATGCAGTTTTCTTTAAACTCCTGTTTTGACAATTTTGAATTCAATTTTTTCTCAGGGAGGTTTCATTCTAGACATGGGTGTGCATTATGTGGCTGGATTGAGAATGGTAATTGACTATGTCTTTTTTGGTCGGATATTGAGAATGCTTACTTGAATTGCTCCCTTGGCTTGTATTTTTAACTATTTCTTTTTCATCTGTTAAATGACCAGCTTGTTGGATGTGAGGTAACATCGGTCTCTGCTATGACTTCTCATGTGGACAAGACATTACCTCCTCCTGATAATATTTCTGCCTTGTTGTAAGTTTTTTCAACTTTAATAACTGGCTATTTCATTTTGACAAAATGCAATAGAAACTAATGTTGGCGAATTTACTTGTCTTCCTAGTCAACTGGAGAATGGATGTTCTGGAGTGTTCGCGATGGTTGTATCGTCAAGATCACCCAAGGCATGACAAATTGGTTCTCTTTACACCTAGAACGTTTTTCCTTTTGTCTTTTCTTGGGTAATTATGGTTACAGTCAATATTCTCTAATTCGTAAATCTTTTGATTCTGTAGATAGTTTGGCGAGTTGTGGGCTTAAATGGAACCCTGGAAGTTGAGCGAGGAAACAAAGATGGAAAGCATGGCTACTCGGTAATTGAAACTCAACGAAACTGGCTTCTAGTCTTTTAGAAACTAATGCAAATGCTCACCTTACAAACTTTGTTTCTTTCAATTCTGAGCGTGCAATTTTGGTTAAGTCCTAACAATATATTCATACTCAAATCTGTGTTAGGTATCTCTTTATATGGGTGATGGGCAGATCAAAAGCTTCTTCTATCCCTTTTGTGGTGTCCAAGAAGAACTCAAAACTTTTCTCTCAGATATTTCACTGGCAAACACAAAGGTAGTTTCTATATGTTCTCCAATCCCCGCTTCTTCTTGCTTCCTACCGTGTTGTCCCTCTGCAAAGCGATTATACCTCAAACTTCTGTATTGTCCTATCGATTTTTTTGCAGGGCGGGGAGTGTAAAGGTGAACCGCGCCTCTCTTTTGTTGAAGGGACAAGGGATATTGCGGTTTTAGAAGCAATGCTTGAATCTGGAAAGAGGGAAGGTGCTCTTGTCCAAGTTAAAAAGTTTTAGGCTTTCTGCACAATTGGGACTACAACCAACCTTCTTTATTAATACATTCATGTTTTCACAATCAATATGAAGAATATATATATTGGGATAATGCAATGCAATTGCATTTCTGTATTGGTTGAATAATGGAAACCTTTTCAGTATAGCTTAGTGTGGCCATATGTAACTTAGATTAGTATTAAATTAAATTAAATTAAATCATAACATCAATGATGAAATTATGCAAAATGTAAAGCTTAAATGACCTAAAAAATCATATACTCCGTACATAATAATTTACTCCAAAAGATATAGTTTGTTATTGGTTAGCAGCAAAAACACTCAAAGATCATGGTCTTCTTGAAACTCACTTTAAATTGTTTCTACTTTAAATTGATTCTACTTTGTTAACTCAAATGAATATCATGGCCTTCATGTTTGTAATGGAATTTAAGATTATCAGAGATGGAAGATTATCACATTCCCTTCAAAATGGATAAAAAATATAATGTGGATGTGAAGTTGTATTCCCTTAGAAAATGAGATAACTTAAACCACCAAATATAACATTTGTTATTTTAAATAACTTAAACCAAAAACCCCTACCAGAAAAATTATAGTAAGATTTATTTGTTTCAATTTTCAAATTAGAGTGGTTAAATGGAATTTTGAAGATTAATTGGAGATTGGAGAGATGATGGAAGCAACAAAATTTATGCTGAGTTAACTATAAGATATTTTGTTAATCAAACTCAAGAATAAATTTTTGATTTGATCCTTAATGTTTGAGCAATAGTATTTAGGAGTACAATTTCAGTTGTTATAATTTGGAGAATAATTAATCCAATGTTTTAATATAATTTTATTTATATTTTAACAATTAATATCAAGTATATAGTTATAAATTATTATTTTCCAGGACAATATAATGTAACTGCATTTTCATGAATATTTTCCTTATTTTAAATTCAATCCATCCATACGTCCCAAAAAGACTTATTGGGTCAACTTTTATGGCCCGTTTGGTTCACGGAATAGGCCGGGAATGGCACAGCATTCCCAGTAATAGGTCTATTCCTTTGTTTGGTAATCATTTCTATTACCAGGAATACTATTCCTGGTAATAGCCTATTACCTCAAATAAGGTAATATCTATTACTATGGTCTCCCCTGGTATTAGCCTATTACTGAACGTTCATGAATAGATTTTAGAATCTATTTCCTTTTTTACCCCTTTCTTTAACCTAATTTTTTTTATCCTATATATAAATTTATCCTATTTCACAACCGTCGTCGCCACCACCACTATCACTGCCGCCGCCGCTGCCGTCACCGCCACAACCACCGCCGCCCCTACCACCACCACCAGAACCACCACCCCTACCGCCACCACCACCACTACCACCCCAGCACCACCACCGTCGTTGCCACCACCACTATCACCGCCGCCGCCGCCGTCACCGCCACAACCACCGCCGCTCCTACCACCACCACCCCTACCGCCACCACCACCACTACCACCCAAGCAGCACCACCACCACCACCATCGCCGCTGCCGCCACCACCACCACTACCGCCACCAGAACCACCACCCACCACCCACCACCACCACCACCGCCGCCACCACCACCACCACCACCTCCGCCGCCACCACCACCACCACCACCACCGCCGCAACCATCACCACCCCCACCACCATTGCCACAACTGTCACCGTCAACCGTCAACCGTCACCACCACCACCGTCGCCCCACCACTGCCACCGCCACCACCACCACTACCACCCCACCACCACCACCGCCACCACCATCGCCACCACCACCACCACCACCGCCACCACCGTCACCGCCACCACCATCGCCACCACCACCACCGCCATCGCCACCACCACCGCCATCGCCACAATCACATATTTTTATAAGGGTATTTATGTCTTTCAAAACATATTTCATTTATATTCCTTAAATCAACCAAACACTGTAATATAATTCGTAAAGTCTATTCCTTTCGCGAACCAAACAATAGAATACAATTCATATTCTATTCCTTGCCTATTTCATTCCTTATGGAATAGCATTCCTATTACCTCAAAATTCATTCCGTGAACCAAACGTGCTGTTAAAGTGGAATAAAACCTATCAAGGCTGTGAAATTTTAAATAATTTATAGGGTGAAGTGCCAAATAGTACCATGAATCAACAACGAAATGTCATCCCGCACCCTAATCTTATATAAGTGATTATTCGATTCACAAATCAAAAAAAATTGTCCGTCTAGCCTTTTTAATAGGTAACCTTCAAGTTAAAGGTTATAAGTTAGTGATGAGGCGGTGACTTGAATGCGACGTGTCCTATTTTGTAGATGTGACATCCAGTCAGCTATTTACTATAATAATTTAGGCGAAATCAACCCCATTTTCTGCGTATTTCGAATCAAATCCCTATCGAAGTCTGAAGAAACCTAAATCCCAAATCCCTATCGCGACTTGTAATTTGTAATACTGATCTCAAGTTTCCCCAATACTGAAATTGGTTTACATGTTAGGCACTGGTGTTTGTGGACTGGAAATCAACAAGTTTCCCCAAAAATATAATGGACTGGAATTCAGCAATTATGGCAACTATTAAAAATTGCAGAAATTTAAAATGGACTGGAAAATATGACAACAATTCAATGCAAGCTAGACTGGAATTCAGCAATTATTGCAGTGCAAACTGGAAATTGAAAGTGCAAACTGGAAAATTGACAGTGCAAACTGAAAAATCTATAGTAATACTGTTGAAAATCAAAAGAAACAACGATTAAAAATAGTTTAATCCAGAAAGAATAATTGAAAGAATTAGAAGAATTGTTAAAGTGATCGATAAAATGCGAAAAATCATAGCATCACTGGTACAGGCGGGGACAGGTGATCGGAAAAAGAAGAAACAGATCATGAGAAACCTAGAGGAGAGCGATCTAGGCTGCCTGTGAGCTTCGGTCGTCTTCGTCTACAGATCATGGAAACTCACAGGCAGTCGTCTTCGTCTACAATACGTTTTTGCGATAGGGATAAGATGAATCTTTTATAAATAAGCCAAATTAGTAGGAAACTTGTTAGATTGTCAAATAAGCGAAATTCGTACCTTTTCTTTCCACGTCAGATTTTAACCGGAGCCATGTCATCTAGGCAACCGGGAAACCTGTTAAAAAGGCTAGGCGGACAATTTTTTTTGATTTGTGAATCGAACAATCACTTATATAAAATTAGGGTGCAAGATGACATTTCGTTGTTGGTTCATGGTGTTATTTGACACTTCACCCTAATTTATAAATATTAGTCATTTGTAAGTTATAAACTAATTAAAAAATTTATTAACCAAACAACTCTAAAAATTAAGAACTAACATCTCATTACGCAAAAATTTTATTATGGACCAAGTAGAAAAACAATATCGTTTGAAGTTTTTACTGTTAATAACGGTAGACAACAAATTTCGTAATGATCCATGTAATTAACAACCTCTTTCATTATTCAGTTTCATTTTATAGACACTCACTAAAGTATTCGTCTAATTAAACTACAATTTCATTTAATAATATACATTCAATATGCAGGACTTGCTATTTAGTTTCATTTTATACGCAATGAAGTTTCATTACAACACAACTAAAGTATCATTCTTATAATTCTATTGAACTGCAATTTCCTTTGACAATATCATCAATATATATATATATATATATATATATATATATATATATATATATATATATATATATAGAATTAGATTCTGGTGCGGTTAGGGTGCCCATGTGCGGTTGTGCGGTTTAATCTGGGTCATTCATCTCGCTTAAATCAACGTCCAGGATTGCCAAAATTAAATAAAAAACGCTGTGGCAATTTTATAATTTTTGCATCTAGGTCAAAATTAAGGTGAGCGGATCTCTGATTAATGTGCGTGAGTTTTGTATATAACCGGATTAAAGCATAACAGGATTAAATTGGATAATAAGATTAAATGTGATACAAATTATATAATTTAATTAAAAAATTTAAACGTTAATGACCAAATGTGATAATTCATGTGTATTTTTTGAATGCAAATACGTTGAAGGCGCAATTCACGTGAAAACATTCGTACATGTAATTTGTCATATACTCCTCAGCCTACCTTAATTTGAGAGAGAACTATAAATTGGGGTCAATTTTAGGGCTTAAATCACTTTATTCAAGTTTAAATTAGTATCTTAATTTGAAAAGGACAAAAAAAACTATTAATAATTTCATATTTCGGCATGTCTTAAACGAATTGGTTATTAACATGATTATTTTTGGCACTAAAACAATAGTTTTGGATGAAAATTGGTACTAAAACAATAGTCATGAATGAATTGTAGGAATTAAACATATGGACCAAAACTGTCATTTTACTAATATTCATGGATCCAAAAATTGTATTTATGCTCAACTAGTCAATTCAACTCAACTCCGGTAGCTTAGTTGGTTGTATGTTCATAACTTCATATATATGCTCTTTGGAATCTTCATTCTAATTAGTTCCCTATTATATGTTTCTGAGGAACACAAATTTCGACCATATCAAAAAAGAAAAAAAATGTAATCCCATTCTCATAATTATGATAATATATATGAATACACTTATTAATGTATTTGTTGATAACTAAAAGTGCACATATGCAATTTTCAAAAAAAAATATAGTACACACATGCGAATACAATATTATATATCTAGATGCACGGTTAATTATACGTTGATTTTATTATATATTAAGTGTTTTTAATTTTTTTTATTTACACTTATAATTCTTAAAATATTTAGACTATGCAATAATTATTTTTGTGACTAATCAAAAGTTAATTTTACAACCCATTTATACTTGTGTTATAATTTATGAATTAAAAAATGTAATTTTAATTTCTCACATGTAAATAATAAATAAAATTTGTTCCTAAATAATTTGAACGTTGCAAGTTGAATGCTGATCTCTTTACAACAATCTTTAAGTAATAATGAAGTAGTGGTTAGTTTTCAAATAAAAAATAAAAAAATTATGTAGCGGTTCTATGCACCAGTTGATAGTTGACAGTTGTCTTTTATGAATTATTGCTTCAACTTTTGAGGTGGAGTGGGGCCCACCCATGTGACCCAATTCCGTGAAATTTAATTTGGGAGTTGACTGAGACGACTTAAGTCTTTTTTTTTTTTTTTTTTTTTTTTTTTTTTTTTTTTTTTTTTTTTAACTGAGACGACTTAAGTAAGGCCTATATACTTAACTCCAATCCGCTATGTGCATATGTGGACCATGGTTCATGCACTGTATAGTGATTGCTTCTCATTACATTCTCTTCTATAGAAGCCACAAGTTGGCTCCTATCCATGTGAAAACACTGAAGTCTTCTCTGTCAAGTCTTCGTGATGTTTTATTTGTTTTAAGGACGAGAAAAATCTATAACTACCAATTTAAGGTGTGTATGAGATAAAATTTTTATTGTGACCTTTAATTATGTATAAATCTGTTTAAATTGTTTATAGTTGGTTAATTCAAATTAAGAAAGTTAAATTGTTATGTCTAATAGTACAACTTCTAATGTGATTATGAAAAACATGTGAACACAGTGTTAATATTTTTGTTTTTTTTCTGTTTTTGTTTTTTAACTATCGTCCTAACTTTAATAAAAAAAATCTGAACATATAGCAAATATTTTACTCTAATACTTTTAATTATTTTTTGTACCCAAATACGTTGGAAGGCGCAATTCACGTGAAACCATTCGTACATATTTGTCGACTGCTCCTCAGCCTACCTTAATTTGAGGGAGAGAACTGAAAATTAGGATCAATCTTAAAGACTTAAATTACTTTATTCAAACTCAAATTGTTATCTTTAATTTGAAAAGAACAAAAAAATCTTTAATAATTTCATATTTCAGTATGTCTTAAACGAATGGATGCCCAACATGATGAATTTTGACACAAAAACAACTAAAATTGTATTTTTTTCAAATATTAATGAACCGATCACGTATTTTTTACCATCAAACTTAGAAACACATTATAAAGTTTGGTAGGGAATATCCCGACCGACATAGCTTCACCACGACCGAGGTGCCTTTGTCCTTTTCTCTCTGTCCTTGCAGGTAACAGGTCGGGCTCCTTGAGAAGAACCCGGTCGGGAACCGACCGGGAGTTGCCCGAGCGATGGTGTCAACCCCGAGCGGTAGTCCTTCGGCGAGAGAGCTGACTAAAGACACGTGGCGGCTTTCTACGACGACAGACAGGGCACCCGGGAGGAGGACACGTGGAGGCTACGTGGAGAGCATGCCGAACGGCTGGATCTTTGTCTCCGGCGTCGCGGCTATAAATACCCACAGTAGCTACAGTGTAGGGGACTTTTGGACGATCGACAGGTTGTTATTAGAGACTCCCGACCGCAGTCAGTCGGTACTCAGAGCAACCAAGTAGATTGTACTTAGGAACTCTACCTTGATCAATAAAGACTTTACTTGCTTTAATTGGTCTTGTGTTATCTATATTGCTCGCGTAGAATTAGCAGTATCATTTTGGCGCCGTCTGTGGGGAACCGTGCAAGAAAGCTACGTCTTGACGAGCACCCGGTCCTTCTTTTCCACCATGTATCCGTGGGCACAAAACAATTTCGCTGATGACCAGGCGGATGCGGCAAGCTCATCCGACCATCATGTCACCTATCAGCAGCAGGGTCAGACGCTCAACCTCAACCTCTCACCGCCACATCTCTCAAACACCTACCCGGCCGCCCAACAGCCGGTCAACTACATACAACCAGGGTATCAGCCGCCCGTTCAGCAATACCCCCAACAGATGATGTACCCGGGCCAATATCCATACCCGGTCCCACCTCAACCGTACGGGTATTGGCCAGGCCAGCCGATGTATTATACACCACCGGTCGGCTACCCACCTTACACGCCTGCGTACACGGCTCCAGCCGCCGCCCCTCCAGTATACCCGGCCGCTCATGAAGAGCCGCAGCATCAGCCCGCTTCCCGGGCTCGACGCTCGGCTCGTTCGCGGTTGGGGTCGGGGGGTGCTGATGCGATGGAGGCACCACGGCAGGCCCAGCAAGCAGAAGCAGTCCCCGCCCGAGCGGAGGACCCTGAGGAAGTTGCCCGAGCGGTAGCTTTCGACCGCCTCCGGCCGGAATTGAGGCAAAGATTGGGACCCCAAGATCCAAATCCTCAACCGCCTCAACCGGAGGACGTGCACATGCAAGACGCCAGCCAGGAGGCTTCATCCGGGCATAGCGGGTCGAGATCCCATCGACGGCGACGCGCTCGGGATACAGCCCAAGCCGCTCAGACCGCCGAGCTCAATGAGACCCGAGGGCTGCTCTACCATCTCCAGGCTGAAGTTGCACAACTCAGGAATGCCTACCCTGGAGCACCCCCAGTCAATCAATCAACCCTACACCAGACGCCTTTTACAGCAGCGGTGATGGCCCAACCATACCCGCTTGACTTAAAGGTCTCTGGGGAGAAGAGCTATGACGGACGGGCAGATCCTGAGGCCCACGTCAACGATTTTTTCAGCAACATGATGCTGAAGGGCGTTTCGGACGCCGTGATGTGCAGGGCTTTTTACTCGACCCTCACCGGTCGGGCAGCGGAGTGGTTTCGAACCCTGCCACCCGGGTCGATCGACAAGTTCGAGACCCTAGCCGTCAAGTTTGTGCGGAAGTTCATCACTTCCAAGGTGGTGAGGAAGTCTTATATGTATCTCGAGAAGGCCAAGCAGCTAGAAGGGGAAAGCTTGACCGACTTCCTCATCAAGTGGAAAGCGGCGGTCGGGGAGGTCGAGCCCATGGATGATGCGACCGCCACCCACATGCTTCATATCTCCCTCCGGGCGGGGTACCTATATCAGGATTTCATCCTTCACCCCCCGACCACGTACGAGGAGGCCCTCCGAAGGGTCACGGATTACGCCAATGCTGGTGAGGCGAATGCCGTGAAGCGCTCGCAAGAGGTCGGCTCTTCGTCCCGTAAACCGGCCGGCCGGGCGGAACATCGATCGGGAGATGACAATCCCCGATCCCGCACCAGGCCTGGCGAGTTTACGGCCTTAAACCGATCTGCAGCGGAGGCCATGCAGTATGCCCAATCCTGCAATCTCATCAAACTCCCCCATCCCGATCGAGACGGCCCCGACAGGAGTAAGCACTGTGCTTACCATCGGTGTGCCGGGCATGACACCGAGGAGTGTACCCACTTGCGCCAATTACTGGAAGACCTGCTCAACTTGGGAAAATTGGACAAGTGCGTGGGGAAGAGAGAGGAGAGCAAAAAGAACACCGATCGGAGGGATCATAGACGATCTCACCATCGCTCCGATCGGTCGGGTCAGGACCGAAGAGACGACCGCAGAGACGATCGTCACGACGACCGACGGGACCCTGATCCCCCGACCAGCAGTCGCCCGGTCGGCAAGCCCACCATACATGTCATATTTGGTGGCCTAGAAGACGCTTCCCAGCCGAGGACGAATTGCCCGGTTGCGATTGTAGATTCCCGGGAGACCGGGAAAAGACAAAAGATGGAGCCCATAACCTTCACCCTAGAGGATCAGCCTAGCAGCAGTGACCACGGCATGGA